AACTTAAAATTTAAGTTCCTATAACTCAGTGTAGTTTTAGTTTAGGCTATTTTGAGTTGCCATATATATTTTTTTAGTGTATACAAGTAATTATGGGTTGAAAAAGCTCATTGTAAAATAATTTATTATTCCTAACATTTTATCTTCAATCATACTAAAAACTTGAGACAGAAAACAATACAAAACATCCAGTTATAAGATAATCTTTAAATGTTTCATTTAGACGTTTCAACATTCAACATGTTGGTGACAACCATGAAAACATCAGTTTGTTACAGCAGCTTGCTCAATCACTGAGCTGACGAGAACGGCAATGTAATCTCTCCCAGTATAAAACAATTGACAAATGTTGCACAACTGTAGAGAGCAGCGACTAGAAGTGATAGGAAAGACTGGAACATGGACAAAAGCAAAACCCCTTGCATATCTTTGCAATAGTGCAATTACTGAAAAAAACAGGAACTGTCAAACTGCTGCACCAGCTTTCCATCTCCACCTCTTTCCGGAAGATTTTAAGATACAGGAATAGACACGGCATCATCAATAAGATTAAACATAGTATTCAAATAAGGCCATGAAAACATGAAATATAAAGGTTTAACAGGAACTGTCAGATAAAGTGGTTAAATCATGACAAACCAAAGTAACTCCAGATAAGCTACATCTGGCCAAGCAGTTCAGTGCAGCTTTTGATACATAAAACAGGATCACATATAACAAAAGACATCATATATATTACAAAACAGACATTTGGGAAAACATTCTTCACTTCACATTGATGGTTGTTACTGTCTGTTTATAACAGTAAAGTTGGGCAGCATTACTTATGTAAGGATGAATATCAAGTTTAATCAATTTGACACAAGTTAAAACATGACTGCTGACAGCTGATGAGATGATTGTGACAGATGGAGGTCAAGGTCAGGGTGATGTTCGTATTTTCTTTTGATTCATCTCTGTCCAAATTGAAAGAAAAACACAAGGGCTTTTGGGATTACAGTAGGCAACCTGAGAATACAACAGTTTGTTAAACTATTGTGTCTCTGTACATGCTGTCACACATAGTTCTCTGTGCTGCCTCTGGGTGAAAGGCCAAGGTCAGTGTAATTGGTATAAAAATACAGCAAACGCACACAAAAATCCGAAGAGACCTTCAAAAACAGATGCACACCCATTCAAATACATCATAATCATGATTGAGGTGGTTGCTTTTCACTTGGAGAGGTCAGGTATGGCTTTTAGTTCAGCGTTGGCCTTCAGGTCCTTCCTGTTTGTAGCAGAGGTGAGGACAAGAAGCGGCCCATTGCAAAAATGCCAGTCACACTCATGTTGGATCTCTCGTCCCATTTCCTTCCTGTCACTTGCTCTTCAATTTGCTCAGTAGAAGCGTTTGCGGCGGTTCTCTTTATAGTGATTATATAGAAAGAGAATAACCACTACCACTACAACCAGCACAACGACTGAAACAATGAAGAGAAAGAAGGTGGTGATGATGCTCCTTCCTTCATCCTCCACAAGAACTGTCTCAAGAAAACATAAGATATTGCAAGATACAAACATTTGTGCTTATCTGT